AAGGGGCAAAGCCTACAAATTAGGAGCAAAAATTCAATACTTCTAGAGAAAAAAAAAAAAAACAAGCAGAATGAACTCACCAGGTGCTTCATTTCACCTTAACAATTCATAAAATAAATTGTAAGAGATAGCTTTACAGAGACCCAAATAGCTGAATTTGAATTCATAAACCAGAATAGTTAGATTTTCCAGGTGTCAGACAGGCGCTGGGCCTATGTGGTCTTTCTACTCTATTCATACCATGCTAACTATATCTCATTTACAATAGCCAGACCAAGGGGTGCACATAAAGACTTGAATTTGTTTTGACTCAATGAGAAGTTGTCAGTACCATTTCAATTTGATAAGATTTTACCTGGTCTTTCCTGACTTTCTGTCTTTTATCCATACAACAGTCTTCGTAAGTCTGGCTCCACCCCATGTCTGCCTGAGCAGAGATGCATAAAATCAGAATTAAAGTCACTAGTGAGAGGAGAGAGGAGAAGCATCTCCCAACTCACAGCAGACAGTTTCAAGAAATTCTCAGGTAGCAGAGAAACACCAATAGAATGCAGAAGTTTTGTATTGCATCTCATTTTTCTTATCCCCTTGACTTTACCAGTCAAACTATTAGTGCAAAAGAGATTCTAGGGCAGCCATCCCAAGGAGGCAAACTGTCACTTTCTGCCCATCCAAAAACTCAACCTAAAGATGGTAGTAAGTAGGGGAGTGGTGCTGGCCTCCTGAGTAGAAATATAAAAAATGTCCCCAGATTTACTTCCACTCTTGCCATTCCATTCTACCACATTGTACTTATAAATATGTTTGTGAAAGAGTTTTCCTTTTAAATATTTTATTAGGATCTCTTCAACCTTGTCCATCTTTTCTGTCCCTCGTAATGAAAAAGAAGCTGAAGAGCCCACCCACGTCCCATAAGCTGTGAAGAAGGGAAGGGGACCAAACCAGGCCCAGGCTTGGTGGCTGATTCCAGCTTACATTCTGGTTGTAAATACTTTCTGGTCAGGCTGGTTGGAAAGAGAGAATTACGCAATTTACCTTTCGATTATGATGAAAAATGCCACAGAAAACACACACCATGAAAGCCCACAAAGGAAACCTTGACCTTTCTGTGAGGCTTCTGGGGGAGGTGCATTTACCAGTGATCTGTTTGGTGAGTAGGTACCAGGGAACCAAGCAGGGGTGTGGACTGAGCATGGAGGGGGTGGTGAGTGTGTAGGTAGAAGATGCTACAAATGAGAAGCTGCAGAACTTGTGGGAGGAACAGGAAGGTGCCCAGCAGACTGGTGTGCAGAAGGTGGAGGAGAGAGATGAGGTGGAGGGGTGGGGGGGCCAAACCACATAGGCCTTATAGGAGGTGGGGCAGTTTGCTCGTTAGCTTGCAAGCCTCGGGAAGCCATTGGTATGTTTTAAGTGCTGATGCAACCTTCGAGATATGCAACTTATAGTGTGTCAGTGTGGAATCTGGAATATAAACAGCATTTATTCTTGATATTGATTAACATTTCATAAGTCCTGTATTTTGGCATTGTCTTTTGGGTTCCTCTCAGGGTCTGACACACTGCAGGATGCAGAATAGACGTTCAATAAATATTCAGTAAGTCAAATTGAATAGCAACCCACAGATGGGTTGGTCTGAGTGCTGGGCCACTTGCTGCATTTCCTGGCCAATGTCAGGTGTCTACACACATGTGCCAATACGTACCACTGCTGACTCCCCTGAAGCCCCTAGCCACTCTCAGGCCCCTGGGCCCCTATCTGAACATCTGCCCCTTGCCTCACTCATTTTATGAAGCTCCAACCTCTTGCTGCCTCCATCTGGAAGCCCCCATACATACTCATCTAGGACACGCAGGGGGTTGTTAAGGAAAGGCAAGAGACAGACAACAAGAAAGGGAAAGGAGCGTACTGGTGACATGCACCATTTGCTGAGCACCTACTCTGTGCCAGCTGCTTAACAAATGTGATGGCTCATCGTGACTCCAGTCCTGCAGGGTAATGTTCTTGCTCCATATGACAGGTGAGGGCAGTGGAGCTCAGGAAGGTTGAGGGACTTATCAAATCCTGACAGTCAGGAGAAGGCAGGTCTGGGGTTCACACTTGACGACCACGCTGTGCTTCCATGCAGAGGTGGGGAGAATAGATAGCACTGGAAAAGGCAAAAGGCTGCTCAGTGCGACCCCTTCATCCTCAGGGTCCTGGCCACGCACACTGCCCACAGCGCTCTGTCAGCATCTGGCAGTTCCCAGACATCCTGCTCCCCCTCTCCCTCACCTCCTCCCCGCTCCCTCCAGTTTCCAGGCAGTTCCTGTTTTAAAATAATTTACTGCCTCTGAGATGATGGGAAATCAGCACTGGGCAGTAACAACTCTCCCCAGAGATTTCCTTAAGGAATTCTGAGCCAGGGTTGAGTGGGTGAGCAAAACCATGGTTTCCTGCTTTCCAAAGACCTGCACAGGCTTCCCACAGTGGCCAGGAAGTGGAGGCAGATGAAACGATGGTTTGAAACCCCTGGAGGCCTTCGCCTCTGCTTCTTCAATTAATTGAATACCGCACTTTCAGATGACTGACATCTCGGTCCACTGGCTGGGGTGAATAGAACCTCCAGTCGGTAGCCTGTCTCATCATACAGAGATGATGTCATAGATCATGATAGGGTGGGTGACATCATGGGGACTGGAGCCCTAACGAAGTCCCAGAATAATCATCAGATCCAAAGAGATATGTGCTTAGTAGAGACAGGGAGGGAGAACTTGATGCCAGGGGCCAGCAACCCAACTGGGAGGTTAAGGAGTCAGTCCTGTGGGCAATGCCTGAGCACCCCTCTACCAAGTGGGCAGCCCTGACACTAGGACATCAAGGAATACGTAATGAGCTTTGCATGTACCAGAAGTCTTCTAAAGAAAAGGACTGTGTATAGGGGACCTAAAATTTTGATAATAAGCCTGGGGTGAGGGGAGGGAGCCCCACAAGGAACATAGTGGCGTTACAGTAGATAATGGCCAAACTGCCATGTAAAGGACTAAATCCAGTTTACTGCAAGGGCTTTCTCTCATGAGTGGGGTGTGCAAGCTGGGGACAAGAATGAAGAGAGACTGCTTACTGCCTCCCAGCTGTCCTCGTCCCCTGCCCTTCTCCCAGGTCATCCGTCCTCTAATCCATTAGAAAGGGTCTTGTATTTAAATCTTTGTGCCCCTAATGTCAGTGCCCTGGAAGAAATCCCTGGGTACCTTCCTTTGCTGCCTTCCATCAGGAATCGCTCAGCCTCATTATCACGTCCTCCTTCTGGGTCTACCCAATGAGGCCAGTGATAGGTAAACGACTGCCAGCAGCTTGAGTGTGACCCATCCCTGACTCATCTCTGCAGCACCATCTTACCTTCCACTGTGGAACAGTGCTTTGTTAAAGTGTGTAGACGGATGGATGGATGGATGGATGGATGGATGGATGTTTTGATGCATGAAGGACTGGATGAATAAATGAATGAATGAGTTTGCAAGAGAGCTACCCAGGGCAAGAGATGAAACTGCTATCTGTGGAACATTTTTTTCTCTACACAAAACTACAAAAGTCGCAATTAAGATTGGAACCCTCAGCCTGGGTTCTATTCTGACTGACTAAGCTGCTGTGTCCAGAAATACACATCATGGCACAGATTAAGCCTGCCTTGCTTGGGGCCATTATCATGGTAATTATGGCTACACTACCAAGCCACTTCCTGACAGCAGGCCTCTTGGAAAGCAGGTAGCCAGAGATTTCTACTGACCTGTTCTTTTTTTTCTTTTCAGATTATCAAGGAGGTCCCTCCACCCCCTGCTGAGGAGAGTGAGGTAAGTGGCCAGAGCAGGGTGTAGCCAGGTCGGCAGAGCAGCAGAGTCAGGGGAAGAGCAGGCTAGGCTGGCCTGACACCTAACCCCCTGCAAAGCAGAGCTAAGTTGTGCCCAGGCCTCCACTGCATGTGAAGCAGCAGGGAGAGAAGTCTTTGGCCCTTTCCTAATCAGGGATGAACAGGAACTGAACTAAACTGGCAGCCAAAGACAGAAGGGTTTGCAAAGATAAAATCTGAGATGCAAACATAAATGAGTTTTTCCTCTAAAACATAAATGACTTTTTCAAATTATATTGAAGTCAGTACCTCAGCATTCCAGATAATTGTATTAATAAAAACATTTTTGGATTCTCTTCTCCTTGCAGAGACTTATGCTTTATGTGGGTAGACCATCCTCCTAGAATCATTGGTTCTAGGATCAGCCTGATGCTGAAGTGTTCCATTTTTCTTTAATATAAAACAATGTCCTAAAGATTTTCCAGGCAGTAATGAAAATATGCTGGAAAGGGATACGCTGATATCCCAACCTTGCTCTCAAATTCTCATCAGCTAAAGAAAAAGAAAATCTTAGACTCTACCACTGAATCGGCCAGGAATCAGTTCTGACGTAAGGGGTGGCCTGGGGTGGAATATAGTATAGGCGTTTAAAGCCTAGCTAGTCATGAGAAAGAGCATCCCTGGGCAGGAGTGCATAGCAAGTGGCTTTCCTAATCCTCTGATCACTCCCAGAACAGGTGGATTCTCTAAAAGCAACATCCATCAATTTAGAAGCCAGGGTACTGATCCAAACACTTAGTGAGACCGAAGATATACGGATAAGGTTTCAAGTTCTTGTTCTCAGTCCCTAAGGTCTGCTGTGTGCAAACCAAGAGCCACCCCCTCACTCCTCCTCTTCCCAAAGCCTTTGTCAAGTTTCCTACATACAGAAAGAGTAATGATTAAATTTAAAATTCCATGTGGCTCTTATATTCCGAACCATATGCATGTAAGCCAAGGGATTTAATAGCTGCAATCAATTAAAGTCCATCTTGTTGGAATGCTCACTTTCTGCCCAGAAATCAAGGGAAGAAATTACATTGCTGTGCAAAGAGGAAGGAAAAAAAACCCTTTTTACATCCACAAAAGCCTTTCCTTAATCCTTCAAGAGAAAGTACCGTGGCTAGTTCCATGGTTCCGGTTGGTCTTTGTTTCTGTTGTGTGCAGCTGTCTCTTAGGCTTCCAGAAAAAAATATGGCAAGGAGCTCCCTTGATGGAGCTGCTCTGCTTGCCCTGAAGTGAAGAATGTTTCCTCCCTCCTTATGTTCAATTAGAGGGATTGCTGCTCTTTCTTTTTATGCTTCTTCTGCATTTGTCTTTAGAAAGTGACGTGGCAGCCAGCTGTGGCCAAAGTACTCTGGGGGATGTAGGTACAAGACTGTGGGTCTACTTTACCCCAGATCCAGCATCTAGCAGAGGGCTCCACACGTAGTACAAACTCCATAAATAGCTGTAGAATAACGTGCTGTATCCAACAACACAATTTTGGAGCCAAGGGGGGAAAAAAAAAAAACCAAGCCAGAAAACCACTTAGAAAGAATAGCTAAAGCAAAGGAAGAGAAGTAGTTGAGTTTTGCCAGTTTCATAGAAGTTGTACTTCCACCTGAAGAAGGCGGACCTGGTTTCTGAAACAAATACCACTTCAGGACATTTGAGATCTAAAGGGTTGTGTTAGGCTTAAAAGAGCCAGGTACAGGCTACAGGCCATGATGATTGCCTTAGCAGGTGTGTTGGCCCTGACAGTTCCTTGGCCCTGTGAGTTAGGTGGTCCTAATCTCCTTCCTAATGTGTTTTGGCAGAAAAAAAGAAGAAAGAAATTGTACAGAAACAGATAACGTAACTTAGCCCATGCAAAGTATTTTCTGCAATGCTCTGGAAGTCACAGTCTGAATGCAGACAACTTTCTCCCCTCCAGCTCCCTGTGTTCAGATGCCACCCGTGCTTCAAGTACAGCTCACATGCTGCTGTCTCCACAAAACACACTGTAATTCCTTCCTCAGAGCCAATTCCTCCTTTCTCCCTTCTCTACATTCCCAGAGTATGTATTTCATTGACTCTTCCTTCTGCTTCAAAGTTTACAACCACTAGCTACTTGAAGGTCAGGATCTATACCTCATAAATCTTTGATTTATCCCCAAAGAGCTTAACACAGTGTCCAACAGTCAATTAATAACTATGTAAAGTCAAACACTTTATGCCAGACATACAGTTAAGTATTAACCACCCAAAATTTCACCAATTCTATAACCATCACATCCTAAGGGAGGCAAGACTACTATTTACATAACTAAACTTAGAGCATGAAGACAACTTTATGAATCTTTATAATGAGCTCTCAGTGATCCTCTTTAATAGGGAATATAAAAATTTATAGTATAAAGAGGCACAAATTTCTGAGATTTCATGTAACCGACGGTGATACCACTGTATAAAGAGAATACAAAGAAAAATTATTTGAAATTTGGAGATCTCAAAAAAAGCAAGGAAGCTCAGTTTTAACAACTAAGAGGGGCATCTCCTGGGTTAAGGGTCTCCTCACTAAGTCTTTAGTTATTCTGAATAACTAGCAGTTTATGGGAGAATGCAAAAGTGAAGTACTTCATCTGATGGTTTAGTTCTAACTGAAATCACCATCCATGGATTTTATGAGCACATTTGAGTTTTTATCAGGCTCATTAGGCTGCAAAAAAGCAGAGACCAATTCAAGCTAGTCCCAAATGAGAGGACCAGGTAGACTGTGGTTGGGGAACGTGAAGATCTGCGCGGCTCCAGGCACCAGCCTCCTCATGGGCCCCTTTTGCCCTCACGCTAGTATCTCTCCTCTCTGGGAATTTGCTCCATCTGCTCTCTCTTACTGGCCTCCTCTACGCCCTCATAACTCTGGCTTGTACAGACCCCTTCTGCCTTGACTCTTCCTGGTGGCATTTCCCAGGCCTTCATTTCACCTTCTGCCCATAGGGCTTACAGCCTCGTCTCTAGGTTTCCATCTTCCAATTCCCAACAGGGGAACATACTTGGTCTAACTCATTCATTCACTCCAGACCATGGATCATAAGTCATGGGTCACAACCACAGTGGACTGACTGTCCTTGGGTCATGTGCCCATTCCTCATCCAGTCACTTGCAGCCAAAGAGAAGAGCCATGTGATTCCTAACAGGCCATGGCCCCCTAAGCATGGCGAGAGTAATTTCCCTTAGGAGGAGGAGTGGACCTGGTGCAGGCACTGTGATCTCTCTGGAGTGGTATTGCTTAATAAGCTAATCTTCAGTCTAATCAAATATCAGAATACAAACCACAGCCAGGAATGCATGCCAAATTCTTCTTCCACCTGCCATTCATACAGGTTCCCAAAGATCCTACTGTTCCCAATGTCATACACATTTAGAGGGGAATACATAGCAAGAATCCCCATGACTGAGTGGAAAGTTGATTATGGCTTAGCCCTAAGCAGCTGACAGTCACAGGCACACAGAGATCTGCACATAAAGTAAACATTCTGAAAAAGAGAAGATGCATCTTCACCCATGTGTTCTCTTATTCTCTCATGTAAACACCTACAGTGTTTTCTTACTTAATCACACTGCAGGCCCGGGCTGGACAGATTGGTAGTACATTTCATTTGCTAATGAAAAACAAAACATTTCCTTCCTGGAGCCTAGAGCCCCTCCCCCAACCCTTCATTTCCCTTCCAAAGCTTCTGGCTTAATTAATTAAATATGATGTCAGAAATATATCAAGAAACTAACAAAACTGGAGACCTGGGCAATAAAAATTTAAGCATTGTACTTTTTAGCATCAGGCGAATTAAGGCCTTAGTATCTGACTTGAGGACATTGGAAAAGTCAATTAGGATAGAGGTAAAAGGTATGTAAGTAGCCACTGTGTTTTTCAGGTATTTAAAATTCTTATTCATTCAACAACTCTAGAATGAGTGCCTGCTGTGTGCTGTGATGGCAAGTCTGAGATTCCATGCAGGAGTTTGTCTTACAAGGGGGTGTAATTGGAAGCTTATAAAGTAGATGACCTAATCAGTCCTTATCAGAGGAGAAAGGCAGAGATTCCTGGAGGATATTGCATGTGAGTCTGTGAAAATTAATAATAATGATAATTACTAGAGAGAACATTTACTGAGCATTTACGACTATCCAGGCAACTGTGCAAAGCACTTTTTCTGGTACATTTCATTTAATCATTCAACATCCCTGGAACAAAGATGTGCTATTCTGAACCTCACGTTATAGATGAAAAGCTGAGGTATAATGAGATTAAAATAGTTCTCCCAGGAGCCGTCCTTCCTCACCTGACTGGAGGAGTATGACGTTTCTGCAACCAGCAGCGAGGCCTCCAGTCCTCGGTGGGGGCATTAGGTGCTCCTTCCTTGAGTGTCACGCCACACAGACCCAGGTGACACTCAGACAGAGCCCACAGCCTCTTTTAAGGCTGACATGAAGACAGTGCTTATTTTCTGTGGTCTGTCCACAGCACTAGTGTATAGCTATCCTCTTTCGCTTTCTTTGGCCCCACGTTTCCTGGCCTGTCTTCTCTTTCACCTCTCACATCCACCTCCCACCATAAAGCTTTAGGATGTGTCTGTCTGGGTTAGGATATGTGTGTGGGTGAGAGCAAGAGAGGAAAGATTGTGAATATATGGACTTCTGGAGGCGGGCGTTTTGTATCAGATGGGAGAGGGATGTGCATTGCAGGCAGGGAACCTGGGTGGGCGTCAATGAACAACAGCACCTGGCTTTGAATGAAGAGCTTATTTCCAGGTTTATTATTGTACTCACTCATCCTAACAATTTCTCTGTGGCAAGAAATTTTTAGGTAGGAAAACTGAGCTATGGAAAATTATACAACTTGTCTATGGCCAGACAAGTTGGACTCCGTAACAGCAGTAGGTCTGGCACCCCTCCAGCTGTGTCTACACAATTACTCCGAGTAGCCTGTACCCTGGAGGGATGAAG